GAGCAAGGGCCTAGCGTGTGCAAATAAAACAACAAGGGTCTAGCATGTGCAAAATTGCAAGAACAAGGGCCTAACGTGTGCAAAATTGCAAGAACAAGGGCCTAGCGAGTGCAAAATAGCAAGAGCAAGGGCCTACGTGTGCAAAAAATCAGACAAGGGCCTAGCGTTCGCGAAATAGCAAGAACAAGGGCCTAGCGTGTGCAAAATAAAAAGAACAAGGGTCTAGCATGTGCAAAATTGCAAGATCAAGGGCCTAGCATGAGCAAAATAAAAAGAACAAGGGCGTAGCATGTGCAAAATAAAAAGAACAAGGGCATAGCGTGTGCAAAATAAAAAGAACAAACGGCCTAGCGTGTGCAAAATAAAAAGAAGAAGGGCCTAGCGTGTGCAAAATTGCAAGAACAAGGGCCTAGCGTGTGCAAAATTGCAAGAACAAGGGCCTAGCGAGTGCAAAATAGCAAGAGCAAGGGCCTAGCGTGTGCAAAAAATCAAGAACAAGTGCCTAGCGTTTGCGAAATTGCAAGAACAAGGGCCTAGCGTGTGCAAAATAAAAAAAACAAGGGTCTAGCATGTGCAAAATAGCAAGAACAAGGGCCTAGCATGTGCAAAATACAAGAACAAGGGCCTAGCGTGTGCAAAATAAAAGAACAAGGGCCTAGCGCGTGCAAATTGCAAGAACAAGGGCCTAGCGTGTGCAAAATTGCAAGAACAAGGGCCTAGCGAGTGCAAAATAGCTAGAGCAAGGGCCTAGCGTGTGCAAAAAATCAAGAACAAGGGCATAGGGTTCGCGAAATAGCAAGAACAAGGGCCTAGCGTGTGCAAAATAAAAAGAACAAGGGCATGGCGTGTGCAAAATAGCAAGAACAAGGGCCTAGCGTGTGAAAATAAAAAGAACAAGGGCCTAGCGTGTGCAAAATAAAAAGAACAAGGGCCTAGAGTTTGCAAAATTGCAAGAACAAGGGCCTAGCATGTGCAAAATTGCAAGAACAAGGGCTTAGCGAGTGCAAAATAGCAAGAGCAAGGGCCTAGCGTGTGCAAAAAAATCAAGAACAAGGGCCTAGCGTTCGCGAAATAGCAAAAACAAGGGCCTATCGTGTGCAAAATAAAAGAACAAGGGTCTAGCATGTGCAAAATTGCAAGAACAAGGGCCTAGCTTGTGCAAAATAAAAAGAACAAAGGCATAGCGTGTGCAAAATAGCAAGAACAGGGGCCTAGCGTGTGCAAAATATAAAGAACAAGGGACTAGCATGTGCAAAATAAAGAGAACAAGGGCCTAGCGTGTGCAAAATAAAAAGAACAAAGGCCTAGCGTGTGCAAAATAAAAATAACAAAGGGCTAGCATGTGCAAAATTGCAGGAACAAGGGCCTAGCATCTGCAAAATTGCAAGAACAAGGGCCTAGCGAGTGCAAATTAGCAAGAGCAAGGGCCTAGCGTGTGCAATAAATCAAGAACAAGGGCCTAGCGTTCGCGAAATAGCAAGAACAAGGGCCTAGCGTGTGCAAAATAAAAAGAACAAGGGTCTAGCATGTGCAAAATTGCAAGAACAAGAGCCTAGCGTGTTCAAAATAAAAAGAACAAGGGCATAGCGTGTGCAAAATAGCAAGAACAAGGGCCTAGCGTGTGCAAAATAAAACGAACAAGGGTCTAGCATGTGCGAAATTGCAAGAATAAGGGCCTAGCGTGTGCAAAATAAAAAGAACAAGGGCATAGCGTGTGCTAAATTGCAAGAACAAGGGCCTAGCGTGTGCAAAATTGCAAGAACAAGGGCCTAGCGAGTGCAAAATAGCAAGAGCAAGAGCCTAGCGTGTGCAAAAAATCAAGGACAAGGGCCTAGCGTTCGCGAAATAGCAAGAGCAAGGGCCTAGCGTGTGCAAAATAAAAACAACAAGGGTCTAGCATGTGCACAATTGCAAGAACAAGGGCCTAACGTGTGCAAAATTGCAAGAACAAGGGCCTAGCGAGTGCAAAATAGCAAGAGCAAGGGCCTAACGTGTGCAAAAAATCAAGAACAAGGGCCTAGCGTTCGCGAAATAGCAAGAACAAGGGCCTAGCGTGTGCAAAATAAAAAGAACAAGGGTCTAGCATGTGCAAAATTGCAAGATCAAGGGCCTAGCATGAGCAAAATAAAAAGAACAAGGGCGTAGCGTGTGCAAAATAAAAAGAACAAGGGCATAGCGTGTGCAAAATAAAAAGAACAAGGGCCTAGCGTGTGCAAAATAAAAAGAACAAGGGCCCTAGCGTGTGCAAAATTGCAAGAAACAAGGGCCTAGCGTGTGCAAAATTGCAAGAACAAGGGCCTAGCGAGTGCAAAATAGCAAGAGCAAGGGCCTAGCGTGTGCAAAAAATCAAGAACAAGTGCCTAGCGTTTGCGAAATTGCAAGAACAAGGGCCTAGCGTGTGCAAAATAAAAAAAACAAGGGTCTAGCATGTGCAAAATTGCAAGAACAAGGGCTTAGCGTGGTGCAAAATAAAAAGAACAAGGGCACAGCGTGTGCAAAATAGCCAGAACAAAGGCCTAGCGTGTGCAAAATAAAAAGAACAAGGCCTAGCGTGTGCAAAATAAAAAGAACAAGGGCCTGGCGTTTGCAAAATTGCAAGAACAAGGGCCTAGCATGTGCAAAATTGCAAGAACAAGGGCTTAGCGAGTGCAAAATAGCAAGAGCAAGGGCCTAGCGTGTGCAAAAAATCAAGAACAAGGGCCCTAGCGTTCGCGAAATAGCAAGAACAAGGGCCTAGCGTGTGCAAAATAAAAAGAACATGGGTCTAGCATGTGCAAAATTGCAGGAACAAGGGCCTAGCGTGTGCAAAATAAAAAGAACAAGGGCATAGCGTGTGCAAAATAGCAAGAACAAGGGCCTAGCGTGTGCAAAATAAAAGAACAAGGGCCTAGCGTGTGCAAAATAGCAAGAACAAGGGCCTAGCGTGTGCAAAATTGCAAGAACAAGGGCCTAGCGTGTACAAAATTGCAAGAACAAGGGCCTAGCGAGTGCAAAATAGCAAGAGCAAGGGCCTAGCGTGTGCAAAAAATCAAGAACAAGGGCCTAGCGTTCGCGAAATAGCAAGAACAAGGGCCTAACATGTGCAAAATAAAAAGAACAAGGGTCTAGCATGTGCAAAATTGCAAGAACAAGGGCCTAGAGTGTGCAAAATAAAAGAACAAGGGCATAGCGTGTGCAAAATAGCAATAACAAGGGCCTAGCATGTGCAAAATACAAGAACAAGGGCCTAGCGTGTGCAAAATAAAAAGAACAAGGGCCTAGCGTGTGCAAAATTGCAAGAACAAGGGCCTAGCGTGTGCACAATTGCAAGAACAAGGGCCTAGCGAGTGCAAAATAGCAAGACCAAGGGCCTAGCGTATGGTAATAATCAAGAACAAGGGCCTTATGTTCGCGAAATAACAAGAACAAGGGCCTAGCGTGTGCAAAATAAAAAGAACAAGGGTCTAGCATGTGCAAAATTGCAAGAACAAGGGCATAGCGTGTGCAAAATAAAAATAACACGGGCATAGCGTGTGCAAAATAAAAAGAACAAGGGCCTAGCGTGTGCAAAATTGCAAGAACAAGGGCCTAGCGTGTGCAAAATAAAAAGAACAAGGGCATAGCGTGTGCAAAATAGCAAGAACAAGGGCCTAGCGTGTGCAAAATACAAGAACAAGGGCCTAGCATGTGCAAAATAAAAAGAACAAGGGCCTAGCGTGTGCAAAATTGCAAGAACAAGGGCCTAGCGTGTGCAAAATTGCAAGAACAAGGGCCTAGCGAGTGCAAAATAGCTAGAGCAAGGGCCTAGCGTGTGCAAAAAATCAAGAACAAGGGCATAGGGTTCGTGAAATAGCAAGAACAAGGGCCTAGCGTGTGCAAAATAAAAAGAACAACGGCATAGCGTGTGCAAAATAGCAAGAACAACGGCATAGCGTGTGCAAAATAGCAAGAACAAGGGCCTAGCGTGTGCAAAATAAAAAGAACAAGGGCCTAGCGTGTGCAAAATAAAAAGAACAAGGGCCTAGCGTTTGCAAAATTGCAAGAACAAGGGCCTAGCATGTGCAAAATTGCAAGAACAAGGGCTTAGCGAGTGCAAAATAGCAAGAGCAAGGGCCTAGCGTGTGCAAAAAAATCAAGAACAAGGGCCTAGCGTTCGCGAAATAGCAAAAACAAAGGCCTAGCGTGTGCAAAATAAAAAGAACAAGGGTCTAGCATGTGCAAAATTGCAAGAACAAGGGCCTAGCGTGTGCAAAATAAAAAGAACAAGGGCATAGCGTGTGCAAAATAGCAAGAACAGGGGCCTAGCGTGTGCAAAATAAATAGAACAAGGGACTAGCATGTGCAAAATAAAGAGAACAAGGGCCTAGCGTCTGCAAAATTGCAAGAACAAGGGCCTAGCGTGTGCAAAATAAAAAGAACAAAGGCCTAGCGTGTGCAAAATAAAAAGAACAAAGGGCTAGCGTGTGCAAAATTGCAAGAACAAGGGCCTAGCGTGTGCAAAATTGCAAGAACAAGGGCCTAGCGAGTGCAAAATAGCAAGAGCAAGGGCCTAGCGTGTGCAATAAATCAAGAACAAGGGCCTAGCGTTCGCGAAATAGCAAGAACAAGGGCCTAGCGTGTGCAAAATAAAAAGAACAAGGGTCTAGCATGTGCAAAATTGCAAGAACAAGGGCCTAGCGTGTGAAACAAATGAGAAGAGGAATGAGATGACTAAGTCAGAAAAATTGGTACAAATAACAAACCCTAGGAATCTGTACCCCATATGTGCTACCCCACTACAGCCTACAAACATGTATCAGCTATAATGTTCTGACACACCCCCATAGGCAAAGTGGGGGAGAACAAGGGGTCACAAGACCAGTCAAGCAAAGCAAAGCAAGCTCAGGGTGGATCACAAAGTCACCACACAGTCCGAGCACAAGAGCTGGGCCAGAGGCCAGTTCACATGCAGGAGTACAGACATATATATATTACTAGACAAGCAAGAGCAGGTATATATATAGATCACAGTACAAGTGAAGTCAGGAAGAGAGCAAGTGAGGCAAGACAGGCACAAGACCCAGCTGGGTACAGAAGCGCTGATGGTCACAAGGCGCGAGTGCCTTGGTGAACACATCAGCAGTGTTGGCCTCAGAGGCCACGTACGCAAGTCGCAGCTGACCACGCTGCTGCACCTCACGAGCAAGGAAGTAGCGGAGAGCAATGTGCTTCGTTCTGTGCTCCAGACGCTGCTCTCGACACAAGGCCAGCATGGCCTTGTTGTCTACGTACAGCACTGGAGGAGAACGAGGCGGCTCTCCAAGGTCAGTCAGCAGGTAGGTGAGCCAGCGAAGCTCCTGTGCAGCCATGGCCCCGGCGTAGATCTCAGCCTCACAACTGGAGCCGAGAACCGAAGACGAGCGAGTAGACCGCCACGAGACAGAGCCGGAACCAAGGCTGAAGGTGTAACCCTGTGACGACCGCTGCGTAGCCTGATCGTCAGCCCAAGAAGCGTCCGCGTGGCCCGTAAGGACCACTGGACTCCGCCCTCCAAGCACTAGCCCCATGCCCGACGTACTGCACAGGTAGCGCAATACCCTCTTCGCTGCAGCCATGTGCTCAGTTCGGTGTCTCCCAGGAGCAACATAGCGTGCAAGAATGCTCAGAGGGTATGCAAGGTCAGGTCGTGTGCAGGTCATCAGGTACATGAGGCAGCCAACAAGCTCTGCATACGGACCACTCGACTCTACGGACTCATCCGAAGGCAGAGCTGAGAGCGAGTGGCGAGTAGGCAGAGGAGTGGCCTGAGGCGAGGAGTACGTGAAGCCGAAGCGCTGAAGGACCTGCTGCACCATGTGTGACTGAGTCAGGGTAATGGTGCGGCGTGCTCTGTCCCGAGTGATCTGCAAGCCAAGGTAGCTGCGCAGTTCACCCAAGTCTGTGCACGTGTGTCTCTTCAGCAGCTCAGACTTCACGTAGGCGAGTCCAGCAGTGTCCGCTGTGGCAAAGACCAAGTCGTCGACGTACACGAGGATGTAGAACGGCGGCAAGGAAGTGTCGGTGCGAAGAAACAGCGACGGGTCAGCAGTGGAAGGAGCAAACCCAAGAGCCGCAAGCGTAGTCCTCAGTGTGTCGTGCCACTCACGCGGTGCCTGGCGGAGACCGTAGACTGGCCGTCGGAGGCTCCACTGGGTGCCAGGAGGGAAAGTCCCAGTGAAGCCAGGCGGACGGCGCAGCCAGATCTCCTCGTGCAGGCTACCCTGCAGGAACGCAGTGCTGAAGTCGAGAGAGTGAAGCTCGTAGTCGCGCTGAGCGGCAACGTGCAGCAGCACCCGAAGAGTAGTCATCTTCGGGGTGGGAGAGAAGGTCTGAAAGTAGTCAACTCCCTGCCGCTGACTGAAGCCACGAGCGACGTAACGCGCCTTGAAGACAGGCGGAGAGCCCGGCGGCCGCTTCACCCTGAAGATCCACATGCCACTGACGATGTTTCGCCCCAGGAGGGGGAACTGCGTCAACGTAGGTGCCTGTGGACTTCCAGGAAGCCATCTCTGCATCCATAGCTGCCTGCCACTGAGAGGAGTAGGGACCCTCTACAGCCTCCGCGTAAGAACGCGGAGTCGGGATGTCTAGTGCATCCGGGTCTCCCTCAGGGGCAAGCAGTACAGACGCGAGATGAGGTGAAGCAGCCGCTAGACACTGTAACTCCTCCTGCCTGTCCTCTAGGACGTCCGTGCCAAGAGCACACTCACCCCCGACGGACGGAGGACAGACAGACGCAGACTCAGCAACAAGACTAGCAGCGTAGTCTAAGCGACAGCGAGCAGCAAAGTCGACAAGCTCAGAGAGTAGGGCAGACGCAGCAGAAGACTCGAAAGAAGGGTCAGTGACCACAGTAGCAAGGAAACGCGTGACAGTAGGACTGGCAGCACGCAGAGAGTCCGACGCAGGGTCGGCAAGCGCAGGAAGAGAGGACGCAGGAGGAGAAGGCAAAGGGGCACGCAGAGGAGCAGTGGACGGACGCAAAGACATCTGGTGCGTGCCAGGGACAGGAGGAGGACGCTGACGCGAACCGCGACCAGTAGCGCGAGCAGGACGAACAGGCGACGCAGGACGAGACGCAGGCTCACGACGCTCAGCAAGACCTCCAGTAGGACCAGTGTAAGGAGAGGGAGCAGGTAGCGGAGAGGAAGGCTCCAGCAGGGACTGCGACTGGACAGGCGGTGGACTCTCTACCGGAGGAGAAAGACCAAGAACCTGCTGCAGTAGCGGAACGAAGTACGGTCGAGGCCGCTGAGCAGCTCCAGGCGCAGCAGGGACAGCTCCAGCACCCTCAGCGACAGCACCAGGGCCACCAACTCCTCCAGCAGCAGGACCAACAGCAGCAGTCTCAGCACCAACACCCTCAGCAGCGCCAGCTCCAAGAGGACCCGCAGGCCCAGCAGCTCCGGGACCGGCAGCACCAGCACCCTCGTCAGTCAAAGAAGGTCCAGCTCCAGCTCCAGCAGCACCCCTAGACTCAGCAGCACGCCTCCAACGACGAGCGAACCACTCGCGCAGCTCCTGTGGAGAGAGAGGCTCCCGGGGAGGCTGAGCAGCAGGAGAAACCCCAGGCGCAGTAGCTCCAGACGCAGCACCCCCAGGCTCAGCAGCTCCAGACACAGCACCCCCAGGCGCAGCAGCTCCCAACTCAGCACCCCCAGGCTCAGCAGCTCCCGACTCAGCACCCCCAGACCCAGCACCTCCAGTGACAGCACCCCCCGGCGCAGCACTCCTAGGCTCCGCACCCTCCGCACTAGCACCCCCAGGCTCAGGACCCCCAGCAGCAGCTCCTCCAGGCTCAGCACCCCCGCGGACAGCACCCCCAGAGTCAGCACCCCCAGGCTCAGCACCCGCAGCAGCACCAGAGTCACCACTAACCTCGACCGGGTCAACGGCGTCTACCTGGGACACACCTGAGGGAGCAGGAACCTGAGGGGGAAGGGGGTCTACCGGGGGGGGAACCGGCACAAGGAAGTCCGGGGGAGGGGGGAGGGAAGGGGTGCGGTAGGGGAAGAGACGGTAGAAGGGGACCGACTCGTCGAACGTGACGTCCTGGGAGGACAGAACACGACGAGAGGAGGGGTGGTAGAACTGCCACCCTGGGGCGTCAGTGGGGAAGCCAAGGAAGACACAGGGAGCAGCACGAGGGGACAGCTTGTCCGCAGACAAGTCGCGGACAAACGCCCGAGATCCCCAGACACGAAACACAGACGCATCGCCAACCTTCCCCGTCCACAGCAAGGCTGGGGACATCGCAGGCCTAGAGACCCGCGGGTGAAGGTTGAGCTGATGCGCCGCGTACCTCACCGCAAACGGCCACAGAAAATGGGGGGCAGCCGCATGCATCATGGACGTACGAGCGACATCCATGACCATGCCAATGCGGCGCTCAGCAATCCCATTTTGCTGTGGTGAGTCCGGGAGTGTGAAGGTCTGGCGGATCCCCCGTGCACGACAGTAGTCTCGCAGAAGGCGAGAGGAGAACTCTCCGCCTCTGTCCGAGTGCAGACGCAGAACAGGAAAGTCAGAGCCGAAGCTCTTCCTGAGCTGGAGACGAGCCTCGCGGATCCAGTCGATCAGCACCTCAGTGACAGCACCCTTGCTGCGCAAGGGGAGGACTGTGGTGTAACGCGAGTAGTCGTCAACCACCAACAGGAAGTAGCGCTCGTAACCCTGCCCACGGACGGGGGCCGGCCCCACACATCCATGTGAAGCGTCTGCAGCGGAGCCTCTGTCGGGGGGAAGTGGGAAGAGTGAGGAGTAGCCCGGAGGCGACCCTCGACACAGGGGACACAGGAAGGCCCTGGCCCGGGGGGGGGGAGGAGGGAGAGACCGAGGAAGACCAGAGACAAGGACACGGGAAGCCATGCTCCGAAGACGAGCCAAGGAGGGGTGGCCTAGACGGTGGTGCCACAGGAGAGTCTCGTGAGACAGGAGGCGACAGGAACAGGGGGCAGACTCAGGACCTGACCGGGACGCAGCAGCAAGCACCTGACCTGACGCAGCTACCTGACCAGACACAGGGACAGGAGGAGACGAAGTGGTCAGGGTGTAGAGACTCGACCCCGGCCGACGCGAAAAGGTGGCCAGGTGTCGGCCTGTGTCTGCGTCCGTGCAGTGGGTCACCCGCCGCCTCGCAGGAGTGAACTGGTGAACCCCCGCATCCTGTAGGTCCGCACCACTCACCAAGTTCGTAGAGAACGAGGGAAGGTACAGACCAGACAGGGTGCCCGAAGGGGCAGCCGGACACGGGAGGACAGTGGAGAAGTGAGACAGGACAGGACCCCCAGAGGGGTCAGCAAGGGAGACCGCAACCGGTCGGCCAAGTGGCGTGAGGGTAGTGCGGTCTCCAAAAAAGGAGCGAGAAGCCCCAGAGTCAAGTGTGAAAGTGAGGGAGGACGAGGGCGACGCAGTACCTGAGAGCGCAGTCTCACCAGCACCTGAGAGCGCAGTCTCACTAGTACCTGAGAGCGCAGACGCACTGGCACCTAGAGCAGCAGCCTCACAAGTACCTAGGGCAGCAGTACCAATGCCCGGGTCGGGCTGGAAACACCGGTAACTCTCATTCTCCTCACTATAAGTCACAGCATACATAGCAGAAAGGATAGCATCAAAATCAAGATCAAAGATCGCTACACCAGCCCTAAGGAGCTCATCCCAGCGAGGGATCTCACTAGCCCCGGGGAACTGCTGACGCCAAGCGTCCGTCAGGCGGCCAAAGCAGCGCTGGGTGGAGTGGGCACCCCCACACTGCTCACCCGCGCGGTCGCCGGAACGAAGAACGTAGGCGCAGGGACCAGTACCCCCACCCCTCTGACGCGCAGTGTACCACTCACGAAGCTGCTGAGGCGGAGGGATGTCCCGCGAACGCTGCTGCTGCTGCCGCTGCAAGCGCTGGCCACCACCACCGCCGCTCCGCTGCTGGGTACCACCACGACCAGCTCCACCTCCTCCACCACCACCGCCTCCTCCGCCGCCGCCTCCACCGCCTCCACCTCCACCGCCTCCACCTCCACCGCCTCCACTCCCGCTGCTGCCTCCACCACCACCGGTGCCACCACCACCACCGTCTCCGCCGCTGCTGCCACCACCACCACCACCACTACCACTACTCCTGCCGCCACCCCCACTCCCTCCGCCGCCTCCGCCGCCACCGCCACCGCCCCCTCCAGCTCCGCCCGCGCCCTTGCCCCCCTTGCCCTTGCCAGAGCGACGTCTCCCACTAGGGGCAGACGCCGCGCCGACCGACTCAAGACCAAGCAGGTCGGCCCGCAGCAGCAGAGGCAACAGAGGGCAGCAAGGGGGAAGGAGAGCACCCCTCAAAGATGGGGGTGCGAGGGTCACCACGAGAGGCACCGACAGCGACTATGCTCTTCTCCGCTGCGAGGAGGGCCGTCTCGAGGAGGTCGACGGTGAGAGTGGTGGGACAGACTGCGAGAAAGTGGTCCCTGACTACGCGGAGGGAGTCAGGGAGGCGTGCGACTACGTAGTAGAGAGTGATGTACATGGGGGGGGGGTTCTTAGCGCAGAACTCAGCAGGAAGGGCGGCGCGGGTAGCGAGTGTCACTAGTGCGGAGGTGCGTAATGAGGTCAGCGACAGTGGGAAAGGCAGAGAGGTCAGGAAAGAGGTAGGGAAGCATGAGACGGCTCAGTGCAGCAGTGGCAGGAGAGGAGTAGCGTGCAACTACAGCGTCGTACAAGGTCTGAGCACTCTTGTACTGACTAAAATGCGCACGCTCAGAGGTAGGGAGGTGGCGACGCACAGCAAGACGTGCAGCAGCATCGCGGGTGGCCCACTGAGAGCGGACAGTGGGATCAGCATCGGCAGCAGGAGCAGGAGAGGCGCCAGAGGTGAGGTCAAAGAGAGAAAGGCTGTCAGCTCTGTCGCACTGTAAGAAAAGCTGCAGGTCATCTAGCCAGACCTCAAAATCAATGGCGCGACCCTCGGCGTCAAAGGCTAGGACACTAGGGGTGGCCATGATGACGACAGCGAAGCAGTGCAAGCAGTAGGGAAAGAGGGCGCAGTGACAGAGGGACTGTGCTCACCAGGCAGGGCAGGCCGTGCAGCTCGACAGAAAAGCAGAGCGGCGACCGGGCGGCTCGGGTGTACAGCTGCTCAGCTCCCGGGCGGCTCGGCGGCAGGGCGGCTCGGGTGCAGGGCGGCTCGGCTCCCGGGCGGCTCGGCGACGGACGGCTCAGGTGCAGGGCGACTCGGCTCCCGGGCGGCTCGGCTCCCGGGTGGCTCGGGTGCAGGGCGACTCGGCTCCCGGGCGGCTCGGCGACTGGGCGGCTCGGCTGCCCGGCCGCCCGACAGCTGCAGGTGAGGCGGCGGGGTCGCGTAAGAGGACCGGGGCGGGGCCGCGAAGGGGCCGGTGGTAGGGCCGCGTAGGAGCCGGGGCAGGGCCGCGTTGGAGCCGGCGGCAGGGTCGGCGGTAGGGCCGGCTTAGGAGCCGGGGCAGGGCCGCGTTGGAGCCGGCGGCAGGGCCGCGCAGGGGTCGGCGCAGGGCCGAGCAGAGGCCGGCGGCAGGGCCGCGTAAGGAGCCGGCGGACAGGGCCGTGAAGGAGCCGGGACGGGGCCGCGTGAGAGCCGGCGCGGGGCCGAGTAGGAGCCGGCGGCGGGGCCGCGTAGGAGGCCGGCGCGGGGCCGCGTAAGGGGCCGGCGCGGGGCCGCGTAAGGGGCCGGCGGCTGGGCCGCGTAAGGGGCCGGCGCGGGGCCGCGTAAGGGGCCGGCGCGGGGCCGCGTAGGGGGCCGGCGGCTGGGCCGCGTAAGGGGCCGGCGGACAGGGCCGCGTAGGAGCCGGGGACGGGGGCCGCGTAGGAGCCGGCGCGGGGCCGCTTAGGAGCCGGCGCGGGGCCGCGTAAGGGCCGCGTAAGGGGGGGCCGACGCGGGGCCGCGTAAGGAGCAGGCGGCGGGGGCCGCGTAAGGGTCAGGGCGGGGGCCGCGACAGAGTGGGCGGGGAGGCCGCAGGGGAGAGGGCGACTCGAGGGGTCGCTAAAAAAAAAAAACCGCGCCTCGGGGCGCGCTTCGGTGGGCCCAAAAAAAAAAAAAAAATCGGTCCTGGAGGGACCTAGCTCTATACCATGTGAAACAAATGAGAAGAGGAATGAGATGACTAAGTCAGAAAAATTGGTACAAATAACAAACCCTAGGACCTAACGTGTGCAAAATTGCAAGAACAAGGGCCTAGCGAGTGCAAAATAGCAAGAGCAAGGGCCTAACGTGTGCAAAAAATCAAGAACAAGGGCCTAGCGTTCGCGAAATAGCAAGAACAAGGGCCTAGCGTGTGCAAAATAAAAAGAACAAGGGTCTAGCATGTGCAAAATTGCAAGATCAAGGGCCTAGCATGAGCAAAATAAAAAGAACAAGGGCGTAGCATGTGCAAAATAAAAAGAACAAGGGCATAGCGTGTGCAAAATAAAAAGAACAACGGCCTAGCGTGTGCAAAATAAAAAGAAGAAGGGCCTAGCGTGTGCAAAATTGCAAGAACAAGGGCCTAGCGTGTGCAAAATTGCAAGAACAAGGGCCTAGCGAGTGCAAAATAGCAAGAGCAAGGGCCTAGCGTGTGCAAAAAATCAAGAACAAGTGCCTAGCGTTTGCGAAATTGCAAGAACAAGGGCCTAGCGTGTGCAAAATAAAAAAAACAAGGGTCTAGCATGTGCAAAATAGCAAGAACAAGGGCCTAGCATGTGCAAAATACAAGAACAAGGGCCTAGCGTGTGCAAAATAAAAAGAACAAGGGCCTAGCGCGTGCAAAATTGCAAGAACAAGGGCCTAGCGTGTGCAAAATTGCAAGAACAAGGGCCTAGCGAGTGCAAAATAGCTAGAGCAAGGGCCTAGCGTGTGCAAAAAATCAAGAACAAGGGCATAGGGTTCGCGAAATAGCAAGAACAAGGGCCTAGCGTGTGCAAAATAAAAAGAACAAGGGCATGGCGTGTGCAAAATAGCAAGAACAAGGGCCTAGCGTGTGAAAATAAAAAGAACAAGGGCCTAGCGTGTGCAAAATAAAAAGAACAAGGGCCTAGAGTTTGCAAAATTGCAAGAACAAGGGCCTAGCATGTGCAAAATTGCAAGAACAAGGGCTTAGCGAGTGCAAAATAGCAAGAGCAAGGGCCTAGCGTGTGCAAAAAATCAAGAACAAGGGCCTAGCGTTCGCGAAATAGCAAAAACAAGGGCCTATCGTGTGCAAAATAAAAAGAACAAGGGTCTAGCATGTGCAAAATTGCAAGAACAAGGGCCTAGCTTGTGCAAAATAAAAAGAACAAAGGCATAGCGTGTGCAAAATAGCAAGAACAGGGGCCTAGCGTGTGCAAAATATAAAGAACAAGGGACTAGCATGTGCAAAATAAAGAGAACAAGGGCCTAGCGTGTGCAAAATAAAAAGAACAAAGGCCTAGCGTGTGCAAAATAAAAATAACAAAGGGCTAGCATGTGCAAAATTGCAGGAACAAGGGCCTAGCATCTGCAAAATTGCAAGAACAAGGGCCTAGCGAGTGCAAATTAGCAAGAGCAAGGGCCTAGCGTGTGCAATAAATCAAGAACAAGGGCCTAGCGTTCGCGAAATAGCAAGAACAAGGGCCTAGCGTGTGCAAAATAAAAAGAACAAGGGTCTAGCATGTGCAAAATTGCAAGAACAAGAGCCTAGCGTGTTCAAAATAAAAAGAACAAGGGCATAGCGTGTGCAAAATAGCAAGAACAAGGGCCTAGCGTGTGCAAAATAAAACGAACAAGGGTCTAGCATGTGCGAAATTGCAAGAATAAGGGCCTAGCGTGTGCAAAATAAAAAGAACAAGGGCATAGCGTGTGCTAAATTGCAAGAACAAGGCCTAGCGTGTGCAAAATAAAAAGAACAAGGGCCTAGCGTGTGCAAAATAGCAAGAACAAGGGCCTAGCGTGTGCAAAATTGCAAGAACAAGGCCTAGCGTGTACAAAATTGCAAGAACAAGGGCCTAGCGAGTGCAAAATAGCAAGAGCAAGGGCCTAGCGTGTGCAAAAAATCAAGAACAAGGGCCTAGCGTTCGCGAAATAGCAAGAACAAGGGCCTAACATGTGCAAAATAAAAAGAACAAGGGTCTAGCATGTGCAAAATTGCAAGAACAAGGGCCTAGAGTGTGCAAAATAAAAGAACAAGGGCATAGCGTGTGCAAAATAGCAATAACAAGGGCCTAGCATGTGCAAAATACAAGAACAAGGGCCTAGCGTGTGCAAAATAAAAAGAACAAGGGCCTAGCGTGTGCAAAATTGCAAGAACAAGGGCCTAGCGTGTGCACAATTGCAAGAACAAGGGCCTAGCGAGTGCAAAATAGCAAGACCAAGGGCCTAGCGTATGGTAATAATCAAGAACAAGGGCCTTATGTTCGCGAAATAACAAGAACAAGGGCCTAGCGTGTGCAAAATAAAAAGAACAAGGGTCTAGCATGTGCAAAATTGCAAGAACAAGGGCATAGCGTGTGCAAAATAAAAATAACACGGGCATAGCGTGTGCAAAATAAAAAGAACAAGGGCCTAGCGTGTGCAAAATTGCAAGAACAAGGGCCTAGCGTGTGCAAAATAAAAAGAACAAGGGCATAGCGTGTGCAAAATAGCAAGAACAAGGGCCTAGCGTGTGCAAAATACAAGAACAAGGGCCTAGCATGTGCAAAATAAAAAGAACAAGGGCCTAGCGTGTGCAAAATTGCAAGAACAAGGGCCTAGCGTGTGCAAAAATTGCAAGAACAAGGGCCTAGCGAGTGCAAAATAGCTAGAGCAAGGCCTAGCGTGTGCAAAAAATAACAAGGGCATAGGGTTCGTGAAATAGCAAGAACAAGGGCCTAGCGTGTGCAAAATAAAAAGAACAACGGCATAGCGTGTGCAAAATAGCAAGAACAACGGCATAGCGTGTGCAAAATAGCAAGAACAAGGGCCTAGCGTGTGCAAAATAAAAAGAACAAGGGCCTAGCGTGTGCAAAATAAAAAGAACAAGGGCCTAGCGTTTGCAAAATTGCAAGAACAAGGGCCTAGCATGTGCAAAATTGCAAGAACAAGGGCTTAGCGAGTGCAAAATAGCAAGAGCAAGGGCCTAGCGTGTGCAAAAAAATCAAGAACAAGGGCCTAGCGTTCGCGAAATAGCAAAAACAAAGGCCTAGCGTGTGCAAAATAAAAAGAACAAGGGTCTAGCATGTGCAAAATTGCAAGAACAAGGGCCTAGCGTGTGCAAAATAAAAAGAACAAGGGCATAGCGTGTGCAAAATAGCAAGAACAGGGGCCTAGCGTGTGCAAAATAAATAGAACAAGGGACTAGCATGTGCAAAATAAAGAGAACAAGGGCCTAGCGTCTGCAAAATTGCAAGAACAAGGGCCTAGCGTGTGCAAAATAAAAAGAACAAAGGCCTAGCGTGTGCAAAATAAAAGAACAAAGGGCTAGCGTGTGCAAAATTGCAAGAACAAGGGCCTAGCGTGTGCAAAATTGCAAGAACAAGGGCCTAGCGAGTGCAAAATAGCAAGAGCAAGGGCCTAGCGTGTGCAATAAATCAAGAACAAGGGCCTAGCGTTCGCGAAATAGCAAGAACAAGGGCCTAGCGTGTGCAAAATAAAAAGAACAAGGGTCTAGCATGTGCAAAATTGCAAGAACAAGGGCCTAGCGTGTGAAACAAATGAGAAGAGGAATGAGATGACTAAGTCAGAAAAATTGGTACAAATAACAAACCCTAGGAATCTGTACCCCATATGTGCTACCCCACTACAGCCTACAAACATGTATCAGCTATAATGTTCTGACACACCCCCATAGGCAAAGTGGGGGAGAACAAGGGGTCACAAGACCAGTCAAGCAAAGCAAAGCAAGCTCAGGGTGGATCACAAAGTCACCACACAGTCCGAGCACAAGAGCTGGGCCAGAGGCCAGTTCACATGCAGGAGTACAGACATATATATATTACTAGACAAGCAAGAGCAGGTATATATATAGATCACAGTACAAGTGAAGTCAGGAAGAGAGCAAGT